AAATACCTGTAAAGGCCACCTCCGACATTTAGATTTTACCGATTTTACCGAGGCCGATAGGCGAGCGAGAACTGTAAACACTTAGAAGTGCCGTAAAGCACTTTTTGGCTAAAATCATGCCGCAACTGCATTACCTTTCGTTTGTAACGACTTTATAGTATCGGAATTGAGTCTTTGAGAGAATACTATTACAAAAAGATATAAATCGTTCTAGCGATCAAATGACCGGTCGTGGTAGGTAAGACAGACTACAAATTCTTCTCAGGAAATAAACAATAGAAAAAGGAGTGAATATTGAAGAATGTTTTATACATATATTTTAGGAAAAGTCGTGAAGTATAAAGTCGATTCGATTACGTTGTCTATAGGAGATTCTAATCGAAATTTTAAAAATAGTCATTTGACTGCTTGCGGTAGGAATAGTGCTAAAAGAGAATAATCAACAGCAAACGATTTCTTAATCAATCTTTCGATAACAGTAAGCTACAGTTGCAAACGCACGCGAGAAACGTGATTCCCCGTGAAGAATTGCCGGTCCGTTTCACTCATTGATGCCGCTTCAATGGCGGCTCCTCGAAGAAGATCGACGTCGACCGCTTTTTCAAACCCTCTCGAATGAAATCGTAGCTGATGTACCGTTCCCGTTATATCCACCGTTCTAATTCTACTCAATTAACCCTTTGCACTCGACAGTTTCTCGCTAGAAACGTGCGATATACCTCAATGAGATGTAAACGACGTTCTTCGACATTAATAAACGAGAGAACGAAAATTAAGGAACACAGCTATTTTATTTGAATCTTTCGCATATCGATGCATTGTACGAAACATAATATTATATGTAAAATTATAATTTTGTACGTCATATCCAATGGTGACTGAGAGTCATCTCTCGAGCACAAAAGGGTTAATAGTTATATCGGCTACGATTCTGAACAATCTTTTCATTCTTTAATGGTCTTCTAATATTTTTTAAGTGCACTTAACACTGTTTCCACCGGAGGTGTCGAATGGCACCTTCTGAAATTTCATCTGAAAATTATTTTCCGAGTTTAACCCCTTGTCCTACAACAACGCGCGAGACTCGTGATGAAGATTTTCAACGCGATCCAACAAATATATATAATACTCGGTTCATTCGAATTCAAAGTAAATATTATTTCTTTATAATCAAGTATTATACTTAAGTGAAAATATAGACATAACGTATGTTCAGAATTTTTCTCTTTTTCCAATACATCATTCATGACAAAGCAACCGTGTCGATCAGAGTTCAGAAAGAAATCATAAGCCAAGGTGTTAACCGTATATTCTGAATTGACTTCTCGACTTTTCGAATAACGATTACAAAATTGACCACAGGAACTGTCCAAAATTCAATCGAGGACAAATCACGAAACTGAGAAAATAATTTTCAGTTAAAGCTTCAAAAGGTGCGTTCCGACACCACCGGTAGAAATAAAGATGTAGGATTAATCGAATTGCGAGATTGAGTTACCCCTTTTTCTCCCCTAAGCGAAGCAGATCCTACCCTTATCCCTATTTTCCCACCCCAACCGTGAACGCAGGAAAGTCGAAGAGGTGCTCGAGTCGCATGGCGCGTCTTTACTTGTCTATCAACAAAACTCGCGTATATTATGCAAAAGGTTGTCCAGCTCTGCCCGAAATCAATCCGTCGAGCACCTCCGCGATAAAACCTCCGCGGCCATTAATAAATCTCCGCGATACGTGCTCCCCCGTTACGCCTCGTCATTATAACGCGCCGCGTCGGCCGGCTAACGCGTATTTATTTATCCCCGTAAATCTCGAGTAACGCTCGGCGTTATTAATAAATTCGCGCCGCGGAAACGCGTTTCCGGGGATGTTCGATTACCGGCGGCGTTTCCCTGTTGCCGAGTTAAATGACGCCGTTACTGAAATCCCGCGAAAATGGCCGGCCGCCGGCCGCGCCGCGTACCTTAATTACAATGTCCCGCCTTTCTGGCTGGAAACCCGCCGGATAATGGACGGACGCGCGAGAAAACACGCTTCCGCGGCATGGAATTAATTAAACGAGCCGGCGTGAAAAAGAACGGGCCAGCGCGAGCGGGACGTTGATTTTGATAAGCTCGAAACGTTCTTGCCGGTCGGCGCGGTTAACCCTGCCACCGGTCATTTGTCTCTGGAAGCTTTAACACCGGGCCGCATCCGAATTGCAAATTCGTGATAATGGAAGACGTGCGGGTGAATATAAACTAGCTCCGCCTCCCCCCCGCGTCGCTTCTTCCCCTTCTGCAACGGTTTCTTTGACGGCGTCCTGTGGAGTCCATTTTATGGAGATCGGGTCCCGCGAAGCTGGCCGTCGAACCTTACGAGTTCATCATCGCTGGGACGACGTGGGCGGTTCAATGGCGAAATAAGAGTTAAACTGAAGCTCGGTGTTTACTATAGACTAGGAAACTTTGTGAAAGAGACCCATATGTTTAACCAACTATCTGTATATAGCTATCTAGTTTATTTATTTTTTTATAGACTAGGAAACTTTGTGAAAGAGACCCATATGTTTAACCAACTATCTGTATACAGCTATCTATTTTATTTATTTTTTTATAGACTAGGAAACTTTGTGAAAGAGACCCATATGTTTAACCAACTATCTGTATATAGCTATCTATTTTATTTATTTATTTATAGACTAGGAAACTTTGTGATAGAGATCCATATATTTAACTAACTATCTGTATATAGCTATCTATTTTATTTATTTATTTATAGACTAGGAAACTTTGTGATAGAGACCCATATATTTAACTAACTATCTGTATATAGCTATCTATTTTATTTATTTATTTATATTTATTTTAGGTATATTTATTTTGTTTCTATTTATTTATACTTATTTATATTTATGTTTATTTAGTTTTATTTATTTTTATTTATTTATTGTTGTCTATTACATGTCATAAGTATTGTATAGCCACGATTGCCTAGGCAACTGAAAATATTGATATCTATTTATAATATATATAGATATATTTATATATTTATATATATGTGCCTTCGCCATAAAGGCGCCACTGCGTGCCACCCAAAGACAAAATTGTCCACTCTACTTCAAGTGGAAGTTTCGTTTAAAGATAACAAATTGATAATAGCAGAACAGTTGTGACGAAGACTTCTAATTGAACAGCGATCAATGTTGTTCATTACCCACGGATCAAAGCAAACAAGTCTCACTCCTTATGAAATCGATTTTTCTACGGAGACCACGTGCGGTAGAAACTCGTAATTTCCAGTTAAGGGGTTAACAGATGTTTCCGTGGAAGATGTACAAGGGAGGACGTTTGTACGCAGTTCACGATGTTATTTGGGGAAAGGGTGATCTTGCGAGCTGGATTTTCGGAGTCGATGGGGTTGAATCGAGCATCAAACGATGAACGGTTTATTAGTTCAGCGAGGCGTTTGTTTTAGTAGATTGTTGGATGTTGGAAGAATGTTTGGGTATTGTTGAACATATTTTGGAGATTTCGAAGGGAAATACAGTTGGGAGTAGAAGGTAATTCTATATGGACGATTATCGAGAGAAAAACAATTTCTCTAAAGGAAAACATTCGCTGCGGTTTTATCGATAAATTAATAATACACGTCTTTAGCTTCTCTTAATAAATTATTCCTTCGCATTGCTGTTAGTACGTGCTTGCATTTAGGAAGTCAAGAGCAAAGGAACTCGCATAACAATGAAATTAATGCAACCGCTTGTCCGGAATCTCTGGCTGAAAGTTTGTAGTACACTGGGAACCGTGGGAGCCATAACACTAAGAAAACATGAATTAACGGAGGTGTTACGTTTCTCCCTTGCTAGGGAGAATTTTAATGAATATTAAGCAGCTCCTCCGGGATGGTTGTTTTTCCGGTGACCGTTACACCGTCCCAATCGAAATACACGCGGGAAACGGATTACACGGTTCAGTTGAATTTTTTTCGTTGCAATTTTTATGCGCAGCAGTGCGCCTTAAAAGTCCAATATCGGTTCGACGGAATCGAAAGGGGGTCGAGTTACTAATGGCTCCGTATCGAATTCCCCGACCTTCGTGTAACAAAAAATCTACCTACATCGAGACGTACTTGATCGTGCAGGATCTCGGAATAAAAATTACTCATCGAGCGTACGTGTAAATTGCTCGTTCGAGCGAAACATCGGTGGGAAATCGGACGTCCTCGATCATTTAGAAACTCAAAAATTCAAGAACACCTCAGTTTAACGCATACCGAACGTTATAATTATTCATTAGATATTTACATCGACTTCGATTGACGATTTCTATATTAACCGTTTCAATTATAGTTTTTTTACTGTGTTTTTCAAGAAATAAATCAAAGTAAATTTATTTGAATAAATGTTATTCTTTGATATTTTTTATTAATCTTTTTGTATACACACCCAATCACTTCCGCATTTTTGGTAAATATCCACAAAAGTTGTTTAGCACTCAAACGGTTAAACGAAACTCAACGTTGTTCGTTCCCCACATATCAAAACAATTTTACTATTATCTTCAAATGAAGTTTCCATTGAAATCAGAACAGAAAATTTCGTTGCGCGTCTTCCAAATTGTCAACAGCGAGAGTAAATAACACAAGGGGTTAAACCTCTAAATTCCAAGATCTCGCTGAACGTCAGTTACCCTAAGAATAGAATAAACTGTACAACAGACCCGCAAACGTACCATTAGAAAGTGGTATCGCACACAGAGAAGAATGTCGAAACGCATCGACGTCGATCAGCGAGACGCGCGCGTAATCGTTTATTAATATTTATGATCGGACAGAAGAGATTTATGACACCCGGGGCAATTAGATTATCTACGAGCGCGTTACTCGGAGCGTGTTGTGTGCACAGCTGTTGCGCTTAATCGCGCGGATCTCTGATTTATCGAAAGAGCGACGGGACGGCGGCGCGGCCGTTAAAAACCGTTTCACGATGGCGGGTAATCGCAACGGGACGCGGTTGTTTGTTTCAGAAAGTTTGACGGGGAACGGCGGGAGAGCGGCGGGGAACCGTGGCAATGGCGGCGGAAGACATCGACGGAATGGAGAGGAACCGGGCCAAGGCTGGGAGCCTCACCGAAATCGTGTAATTTCCGGACACCGTGCCGATGCGCAACCGCCGCGCCGTGAATTGATGGTGATTTCGCGAGGGATTTATCGGCGGTGTCTTAAATCACGATTTGAAACAGCGGCCGCATTAGCGGCGGACATCGGAGTCTGCCATGGCAACGGCGGACTCGTGCGCAGCAATGGACGGTTCGTAAAGTTCGAGCGAGACGTGCATGCATAGTACGTCTCCGACAATTGAGACAGGACGCACGATCGAAACGCTTTCGAATGCGACGAGACATTTCGTGCATTGGATTTCGTCTCTATTAACCCCTCGCTCTGCGTTTTATTCGATAACTATGATCGATGGAATTACTGCATTGCTAGTTACTTATTGGGTAAAGAAAATAATAGAAACATGTTGTAGATGATAGAATAGATTGATAATAGAAAGGTGACGTTCAATTTATACGAAAATAAGCGTAGATTCGTTGAATTTCGGTTAACTTTCAGTTGGATACGATATTGTCGAGGGGTTAATTGAAGGGATTCTAAAAGTTATATATAATTAACTTTTCAAAATAGGTGAAGGAATACGATACATACTAGAAACCATCGAACATAAAGATAGTATCTTTTCTTTTTCAATGATAATTATTGTAATTATGTAATAAGATGTAAGGTGGAGTGGAATAAGTGCACCCCAGTTTTTAGTAAGTTCGACTTTCAACCCATATATCTTTAATTTGTTTTATGATACTTTAACATTTATTGAGATCAACGAATATTTGAGTTAACACGCTTTAATTGACATTGACAAAAACGCCAATTTCACTTATATCTTAATTTTTCAAGAAAATTGTAGAAAATCCAACAACTGTGCACTTTCCCCGAAAATGGGGCACATGCGCACAACCGACCATTAAAACCGATTTGAAGCATTTTATCATATGCTACGAGGCGAGAGTATAACTATCGATATGTTTGCTATAAAATACTTTTTACCGCATTCAAATAAAACAAATAAATAAATACAAAGGAATTAGTGAAATAAAGTCCTAATATAAACAGATCTAAAATATATTAATGGTAACGGTACAATGTTAAATGTTAAAAAATGATATTTTTGGACAAATGTATTAATCAGAATAAATGTATTAATAAGAACCCGTTTATGCACTTACCCGACTCCACCTTTTAATAAGTTATAGTAAGATATAATGACATAATAATTATTACAATGACGCTTTTACTGTGGTTTGTAGTATGTACTTTATTTCTTTAGCTATTTTGAAAAGTTAACTGCGTCCTTCGAATCTAATATGCTCGTTGTTACACCCTCTCACGCGATTCGTAATTTCATTGCTTTCCTCTTGATAGCATTGTTTTTAATCTCAAGCATCGGTCGCTGGTAATTTTATAAGTCAAGGTTGCAAAGCACCACTTTGTGTGTTTCAAGATATCAGTTCTCTAATGTAATATCGTTAGCGACCAATGAAACGAAGTAAAACTACTTACTCGCCTTACGATGTCGTGTTAGAATTGTAGCGATGATTTTTAATGCGGTTCAACAAGTAGCAATTTCATTCGGTCCTTTCGAGTTCAAATGCAACTTTTTCTTCTTAGCAATTTATATGATTTAGAGTCAATTTGGAGATAGGATGAGCATGGAATTTCTTGGTTTACCGGTACATTATTGACACGTTAAATGCCGTATCAGTCACCGATGACTGACGCTTCTGAATTTCTCGAGAACAATCGCAACGTGCAAGATAATCGATGTCGAATCAGAATCTTTAATAGCGTAACTAAGTTGATAGTGTAATGCAAAGACTGTAACGCGAGATAGTGAATAATCATTAATAGTTTTCTTTGCTACAAAGGATGAAGAGACAAATGAAAAGACGACAGAAAAATGGTCAAGATTTTCATGGCGCTTAACGTGTTAACGATAAATAGTTCTGACTATTAAGTAAAGTAGAGTCAAATATTGACATCTTAATATCACGTGTGCTGCGTTTACTTAATTTTATTTTATTGTAAAAGTGTGAGTTGTGCACCTCGTACGATCTGAACAAAGTCTTAACCTTTGACTACCCGCGCTGGCGTAAAAAGAATAACAACGTAAAATCAATTCCATCAGTTTCCCTTTGTTTATTATCGATTATTATATATATTAAATATATATTCCTAATAAATAACATACTTCATCAAGACGATGTGCACAGAATACACCGCGTTAGATGAAAATTCAGGGCGCAGGTAGTTAACCCTTTGCGGACGAATGTCGACACTCTGCCGAGATCAAACTTTCACGTTTGTAATACTAAGTTGCAAACAAATGATCCAACTATTCAAACGACAAGAAAGTACATAATGAACCTGATTCTATATTACTTAGCACTAGAACTACCGTACCACTCAAAATGACTAGTTTCAATTTTCTTGTTTAGCAATTATTGATATCTTCGAAGCATTGAATATTCGAAATGATTTTGAAAAGAAATTCCACTTGAGTACTACATCGAATGTCCGAAGAACCTGAAAATAATCTATCGTCACAATTTCTATATGAATCGCGTATTAATCGTATTAAACGCTAGGTAGTTCTAGTGTTAAGAATTCGATGACAGAATCCACAGGTTTAGTATGCTTCAGAGAGTCTTCGTCCGCAAAGTGTTAAAGGTTAAAGAAAGAACGAAACGTGTGAATTCGTCGTCAAACGGTCGTTTGAAATTTCCAGAATACCAAGGCGTGGACACGACGACGAAGATTGACCGACCGGATCCCACCTGCGACGCGGTCGATTAAGTCACTTGGAGGTTGGCCTGGGGGTTGGTTACGGGGGACGTCCGGATGCGTCATGTCGTCCTACGAGGGGCACGTTTACGAGCGGAATCTTACTTGAAGACGCAAAGCGGAGGCGAAGCCGACCGTAGATCCGCGGGACCTTGGAAGTTACAATGTCAACGGCCGCGACGGACCCGCTGCCGCCCACCGTTTCCGGGGAATTGACGACCGCGCTTATACCGACGGTGACCAAGATCGATACGCGGCTGGACGTCAATCCCGTCTCGGTGGTTTTGGCGGTGTCGATAGTCTGCATTTTATCGCCGATCACCGTCTCCGGGAACTCCATTATCCTGACCGCGTTCTATAGGTACAAGAGGCTGCGAACTGCATCCAATTACCTGCTGGTCTCTTTGGCCATCAGCGACTTCGGGGTAAGCTTTAAAGCGCGGAGGAAATGCGGGACGCTCGGTCGCGTGCATTAAGTCTACGCCACGCTCTCTCCACCCTTTCTATATTACGAGACCTCTCTCGACTCTCGAGGCTGTCAGAGCCTCGAATTAATTAAACGCTTATATCGTGCCTTCGCTTATTTATTGGTTAAATCCTTGCACGCCGCGGCAGCCCCTCGCGATTCCCGTTCAGCCGCGTCCAATGCGGTAGCTAATGATTCTCCTTATCCGTTACGAATGCGTTCGGCGGTGAGCTTCAATGGCGAATCGCGAATCCGGTGACTTTTCACGCGAACGGTGTTGAGAAGATCTTTAATTGATCGTAAGAATTTATAGAGAGTTTAGAGATGCGTTCGGTAGGAAGTTCAGTCGTGAATTGCGAATTCGGTGCATTTTTCACGTGAATTTAGTGGTAAAAACATCTTTAATAGGTTTCGAATTTTTTATAAATCCTTATAATCTGTTAAAGATCTGTTTAACCTTTAATTAAATTTTAATTATTTCTTAAGAATTTATTAAATTCTTTATATATTGTTACAATCTTTAAATTCTTTGTAAATCCTTATAATCTGTTAAAGATCTTTTTAATCTTTAATTAAATTTTAATTATTTCTTAAGAACTTATTAAATTCTTTATATATTGTCATAATCTTTAAATTTTTTATAAATTGTTATAATCTATAATAATCTGTGTTCTTCGAAATAGGCTTCATTATTTTCGAGGATTTCGATTCGGTTTTTTGACTGCTCGACGAAAATGAAGCCGATTTTGACGCAGCGAGTGGCTCGATACGGTTTCGCACGTTTTCCAATATGTGAAAATTCGTATTTATTAAATGATGCAGTAATTGAAATACGTATATCGAAGCGGAAATCATTTCAGCGGCTTCGGAAACATTTTCCTTGTCGGACGCCATCTTGCTTGCTAATAGCATTCTGTTCGACTAGATGTCGTACGTTTCGCAACTGTGAGTGTCGCTTGAAGTTTATAAAATACACTTATTTACACGCGAACCAAAGTTACAAGTAATTTAATATCAAGGTACCGAATTCGTTTCTACACCTAATGGATGATGGAAAGGGATTTTACATCGATTTCGAAGATATTTTGAATGATTCGATTAAGAGATTCAACGTAACGCGAGATTGCGTATGTTGTGCGTTGAATGGAATTGAAATTACATTTCTTTTTGTACTGGATAGATTTTTCGAGCTACAAACCACTCAAAATATAGTGTGTAGCTCGGTAATTGAATCAGCGCTGTTCTTACGGCTCTTTTTTCGAATTGCTTTGTGCGGCAAAGGGAGCGCACAGCAGCGATACGGTTCACTATGAATGGCAATGACTTTTCAACGGGCAGGAAAATTCTGTTACCGCCACACGCGTGATCGAGAAAAGCGCAACACAAGTTTATTGCACTCGAGCGGCGGAGATCACTCGAAACGGTTAACGAAGAACCGCTGAAACCCGCGCTCGCGCGCATGCGACAGGTGCGTTTTGAAATAGATCGCGTCCAGCGGTACAAATACTTTCCCGTTGAAGCAAAAAACTTTTCGAACGCGGTAGCCCGATAACTCGGAAATCGGAAACCGGAAAAATACGTTCACGGAACTCGCGGGGCGCGCGCGTTACGCGAATCGATCGCATTACAAAATTCCCGAGTGGACAAACTCTAATGCTCGCGGTTAATGAAATTCACGTATAATCTCGTTGCGCCAGTGAATTAATTATTACCGTAATTAATGCAATGAAATGATAATCGAGGTTTGGTACGCTTTTCGGGCGCAAACGAAATTTTCGTCCGGTAATTGCGTCGAACGCATGCGGCCGGCGTCGATATCGAATCGAAATCAAAGTACGCAATTATTTTAATGCGTTCGTTACGCGATACCGGAATTTCGTGTAACGGCCGGAACGACGCTCGGGAACGGGTTTCTCGCGCGGTAATCATTTTAAAATCTCGGGAAATTTATGCGAACGCGCGGAAGGATGAAAATTCCGTTGATTTAATAGACGGAAACGGGCTCAATGACGAGGAAAATGATTTGCCTTCAATCAGCGACCCGTGTAATCGTTGGAGAATTATCGGGACGAGATCGTGCAACGCCGCGCGTTCATTCGTGAATATAAATCGATACACGCCAACCGAATTTTAGCGCGTTAATGCTCGTGAAAGGCCCGGCCCGTCCGTCGACGCGGTCGTTCCGTCAGCGTTACAGTCAGCCTCGTCAGACTGAAAAGAGGCATTGACAGTGAAGAGGCCCATTGTTCACCAAGATTAATCGAGTATTTTAATTAGTCGGCCGAATCCATGGGAGAAAGGAACGGGCCACGGGAATCCTTCGAACGTATCGTTCGTCGTTTATAACGTTTTCAATCTGAATCGATTATAATGTTATCAAATCGACGCGATCCAGGAACGGAACACGATCAGTTTCGGATTCTTCGAACTGAATCGCATTCGATTAACCGCAAGACCGAATACCAATTAAGAAGAATGTATCGGAATCGTATCGAGTGGCACTCGTTACGAAACGAAGGGAAAACCGATAAATTCGTTTTCTTTTCAATTAAAATCCAATGCCGTTTTAGCAGCACCGAGTACCTACTTACAGTTTGAATTAAACATCGAGCCACGATGAAAATAGATTTCCTTTTTCAAATTATCAACGGTGAAATATATGAATTTAAATTAATATTGTAAATTAACGACGAATTCGCGGGGCAATGGAATTAAGGAACATAGTACTTGCAATGAGTTTATTAACAGTTTTAATAAAGTTTTCAATGACTTATAGTCTTGTGCCAACAACGTAATAATTTTTTGTGTATAATAATCTTCAAATAATAAGTAGATTATGTTATTAGACGCGACTCGTGTCGTGAGTGCATTTGTCATTGAAATTTCAATGAACAAGTCCTCAGTCATTGATCGTTTAATCATCAATGAACCGTGCGATGGCTAACACGCAATGCGCCGGGTACAACACTTTCTACAAACGACATAGAATTATCATCAGCCTCTGGAAATCAGCTTTTGTTGAACGTAACGCCGGAAATGCACACACAGTGCCACAAACTATAATCACTCGACGTACAAATTATCCGGCGTTAATAACCTAACATGCACGCGACTCGAGCTAATCTGCTTCAACACTATTTCTACCGAAGACGTCGAAGGATACGTAGAATTTTTAACATTAAATTATTTTCAAGGTTCAGTCGTATATTCTGAATTGACTTTTCGACGTTTTCCAATAACGATGATAAATTTAATTATAGGAAATGCGCAAAACTCAATTGAGGGAAAGTTATTAAACCGATAAAATAATGTTAACTTAACCAAGGCCTTTCGATTTTTCCAATAAAGGTTATAAAATTAGCTACGCGAAATATATAAAATGTAATTGAGAAAAATTATTAAACTGAGAAAATAATTTAACTTTAACCTAACCAAGACCTATCGACTATTCCAATAACGGTTATAAAATTAGCTATGGAAAATATATAAAATTTAATTGAAGAAAAATCACTAAACTGTGAAAATAATTTAATTTTAACCTAACCAAGAAATATCGACTATTCCAATAACGGTTATAAAATTAACTATACAAAATATACAAAATGCAATTGAGAAAAATTATTAAACTGAGAAAATAATTATAACCTAACCAAGGCCTTTTCCAATAACGGTTATAAAATTAGCTATAGAAAATATACAAAATTCAATGAAGAAAAATCACTAAACTGAGAAAATAATTTAATTTTAACCCAACCAAGCTATCGACCTAACCTATCGACTATTCCAACAACGATAATAAAATTGCCTATGGGAAACACGTAATTGACATATAAAAATACTGTATTCACATCGTATGCGTGTCAGACAATTTTCCACATTCAGGTTCCCCACGAACGCGTACAAGCCTGCATAATTGTCACGGTTTCACGCAGGTCGGCGTGTTCATGCCGTTCGGTATGCAGCTGGAGCTGTCTGGTCTCCCGGAGAATGGCGTGTCCACGTTGTGCATCATCCCCTATTGCATCGTGATCGCGTTGTGCAGCGTGAGCGTGCTGGTCACGGTCGCGATCGCCGTGGACAGGCTGACATCGCTCGCGCAGCCGCTCAGGTACAAGAACATCATCACCCACAGCAGCATCGAGAAGTACATCGCCGTGTTCTGGATCTACGCGATCGCCGTCGGCCTCTCGCCTCTGATCTACGCGAAAGTTGTCGGCGAGACGCAACCGCACAGGTGAGATATATCGACGTTGGATGTCTACGACAATGTCCACGAATAAATAAACTTCGCATTGCTGCGCTGGGTGGGTCCAGGGGTGCTCGACCGCGACATAATCATTTATACAACGTCCTTCTTACAGTTCTATTCACAATTATGTACAAATGTTGCACAATGTAGTCTTTGGTTCGATGCGTCCCTTCTTGTTCGCGTTCGCTCGAAGGCTACTCGCTTGTCTTCGTTTACTCTGACCAACTCCTTAGCGACCAGTTTATTTCAACCGCCTTCAGGTCCTAAGGGTTGGTTCTGCCGTGCGTGCCGGAGGGACGAGTTCGATACATCGCAACAATATTATAGTGTTACTATAGTAGAGATAATGAAAGGGTGGATCTTGAGTAATCGAGAGCTAGGAATAAATATATGTATTTAATAAAATGAAGCTAACATTAGGCGTTGCGTACAGTAGAATCGTGATTGCTCACAAGTTCACCGTGGATACTCTGCATTCAAGGGCAAGTCAGTGCACCGAAGAGACACGTGCCTAATTTTATATTCTGCAGTGTCTCCGCGTGTGTTCCATCGCACTCGATGAAGAAATCTTTCGTTTATCTACATCCCCTATTTCATTCATAATATTCAAATCTGTCCGATACTCGATCGTCTCTCTCAGTAATTTCTCGTGTTTTCCGAATATTGTACTCTGCTTTGTATTTTATAAACAAACAGGAACGTTCGGTGTTTTATTGAAATTCTTGTGTGTGTTCATTGGGGATAATCTTTTATACGCATAATAAAATATAGGATATTTTGCGATAACCCACGGTATTTCAATTTGTGTAGGAAAACAAGTTATCTTGAGAATATTATTATTATATACATAGTGTTACTGTAGTATAAATAATGAAAAGGTGGATCTCGAGTAATCGAGAGCTAGGAATAAATATATGTATTTAAAATAAAGCTAAAACTATGGTCAAAGTATAAAGTATGGAAACAACACTGACCCTCATTCTTACATTCACTCTTCTTAAAAATACCTTAACCTACGCTAAGAATTCTAGATACCACAATATCGTAACGTAACAGTAGAAGTTCAGTGAAGTAATGTTTATTTTGCGACGAAGTTGTTATTACATCGAACGTGTCTATATTATTAAATCACCGGTGACCTCAACCAAATCGAATTACTATAGACCCGACCATCGATTTACGCGAAAATCGGGTAAATGTCGGTACAAGGGACGAAATATCGAAGAGAAAAGCTGGCACAAATTTTAGAAATACATATTTACCTCATGTATTTTAACAAAAGAAATAATAACAGCGACATCCTCGAAAACGAAAATATATTTTATTCGCTGCTACTAAATTCACACTTTAAAAACTACCGCTGAAATCTCCTTCCAATTTACCGCGTAAATCGAGGGTCGGGTGTACTCCATTCGGGTGAACGATGATTATTTGAAAGCTTGTCTGTATCACAAGTAATACCACTTAACCGCTGGAACTGAACAGCTGGATTATGAACAGCCGCAAAGGGAAACTCGGAGGGAGATATCTGTTCGAGCAAACGTCCCGAAAATTGTTAAAATCAAATTAACCGCGGTCACGTTCCCCAAACAATGGTAGCCGGCCGGCGCGACGCGTACTTCCGCGGTCGCGCGTTTCCCGTTGAGAACCCGCCCGTCCGCGTTTCGTTTTCTCACGTATCCCAAACACACGCGCGGAGAAAGCGAAACAAATCTTCATTGGGACCGCGCAAACATTTTTTCCACCCCGTTTGTCAAACATTCCATTTCGCGGGCGGAGGTTTATATCCGGAGCTGCGTGCGCTTATTCACATTGTTCTCCGCGGCTTTCGCTCGTGGAAACCGTCCATCGGAACGGAACGCAGAATTGAACGTTTCCGGTGACTGGGACTACATCGTTCCTCCGTTGTTGCCTGGAAATTCGTATCAGCTATTAACCCTTTGCACTCGGTCGCCACTTAATTTCACGCGGAGGAACTATAAAATCTGATGTTCAACGTTGAACTTTGTGCAATGCCTCGATACGTGGAACGTTGGAATAAAATATCTTTGTTCTTCAATTCACTTGCGATTCCCCTTCGAGTTTCAAGGAGTATCGTCTTCGGCTCGTCGAGAAGCGATAATACTTCTAGTGAGAACAGATGTGTGTAATAAATTAATCTATACATTGACCCTTTGCACGAGTTACTTTTGCCGTAGAATTTAAAAGAATGTAGAATGATGTACATTAAGAATCGAACGTGTCAATTTTATCAATAAACAAAATCGCAGACTTTCTCGAGAAAACGACGGACATAATTATACACAATGATCTTATGAATGAAACTATAATATTATCGATAAAGGTCAGTACAAATGGAGGAAATGTACACGTTTCCGTAATTTCCCTTAGGAAGTTCGAAATGGGTGAAAATGGCTCGCCCGGTAGAGCCGACATTAGAAAAACGCTGTCGCGAGTCCAGTTCATTGAAATGTACGTATCGTGCAGCCCCCAAGATATTTCCAGAAGCATTTGGCATTAGACAGAGGGGAACTTGGTAAAACTTGCAGGTTGGAATATAGATTGCGTATAAGTGATCGATATAGGGGCAGCGTAGATTCAACCTTGCCACGTGTTCGCTTTGCACGATCGCAACAAGCGGACGGGTCCTTTGTATTCATCGAGCATCGGACAATAGACAAATCTGTTCGGTTTATGTAACTTCATTGTTTGCCGAAGTTAACGGAATAACAATGAATTCGTCTCTGCGATGACGCCCACACGACGGCGGCCATTTTCTTGTCCCGTTCCGCAGTTGAAATTCAACGATCTACATCTGACACTACGGATTCGATCGTCGAATCGCGTTTCACGTAGTAACGTAGTAACTGTTTGAACAGTGGACGCTTGTAACGAGTATTTAGGATTTTACGGGAAGACGAATACTTCGGAATCGTGTAACAAGGGTGATCGTTCGAAGATCGCTCGAGGAAATTGCTTCGTTTCTTCTAATTCCGTCGAAGTCAGAGGCAGAACGATTGTAAACTTATCTCGTAGAATATTCGAGTTGAATCACTCTTTAATATTCTCCACTTAGCCAACAATTTTTCGAGCACCATCGAGAGTTCGAAAGCAAGAAGTTCTTCTCTTCCCCCTTAATTGCGCTCGCTCTTCTAGCTCCGGCGCTGAGAGATGGGTAATATTTACAGGTGAAACGCTTGGAATGCTGTTTTACAGAACGAAAACGGGAATGTTTTGATTTTACGAACTTGGACGGAAGCGCTCGCTGTTCGCACTATAGATATTTATTGATATTTCCTTGTGAAACGCGGTTTTCAAGGATTCAGCGAATCCACGACTACATTTTCTTATCCGAGCCAAATGGGATCATCGCGTCTCGTGTAAAGGGAGCAGCGGCGTATTAGCGCGGCATAAAAGTTGCTATAACTTAGGAACGAACTCGGATGGAGTACACGCGTTGAGCAAGAAAAGCGTCCGGAGATATAAAGTCGTTACCAAAATATTGTAAGCGTACGACGGTGATTGTACAGGGAAAATGAACTTTGAAATATCAACTGAAATTTATTCATTCAGCGTTCTGTTGAAAGAAATTAAGTTCCAACGCAGTTCGCGGCAACTCATCACATCAAGCCGTGCTCGGCGAATTCACGAACTAGATTTTCTCCAAAACGAGGTTTCAAACGAAAGAATTTCATTCCGCGTTTTCTATTTGCTTTCCCGTGTACGCGCGCTTTTTCCCGGTTGCGCTGCATTCGTTTCGCCATACGCAAATATTTACGAAATTGGAAAAAGCTGGGAAACAATCAGTTCTGTCAATATCGATGTTAGTTTCTACTATGAACTGTTAATTGTGATAATGAGAATGTTACGTTGCCACGACACACGGGAGATCCCGGAAAAGAGGGATTTCGTCCGGATCCAGAGGAAAGCTGAAGTTCCTCAGGTTTTGTGTTTTATCGAGTCAAAACGAGGTTTCAACATTATTTCCACCGAAGGTATCGAAAGACAGCTTTCGAAATTTGAATTTAAAATTATTTTCTAAGATTAGTCGTATATTAATTGATTTTTCAACTTCTACAGCGACTATAAAATCGACTATAGGAAATGTCCGAAATTCAATTGAGGAGAAACTGTTAAACTGAGAAAACAATTATAATTTCAAAAGACATTTATGATTGTGTAAGTGAACATTTGACACCTTCCATAGAAATAATGTTAATTTGATGTTTACAGTGAGATGATTAGGATAATTCTACCCTTCTCGATTAATGGGATTTAGGGAGACTCGGAAAAAGGGGAATTTAGTAGTAGAGAAGGGGAAATATTTGAACCTTAACCCTTTGTGTGCCAGAGGAAATTTTCATGCATATTCCAGAAATACCATGCAATTTTGATCAAAGATGATTAGAAAAATATTGATTGAAATATAAATTGTCGTATATAAGGTTCGTAATATTTTTACACGATAAAAGCATGTTATACTTCCTTCATTACCAATCAAATCGAAGAAACTTCGCGCAAGTGCACGAAGGAACGATCCGCCGCTCCTTGCCAGTTATTTCATTGCTTCGTAAAGCAAAACGATACAAAAATATATTGCGGATACAAATTAAATATTTATTTCGCGTTAAATACGCACGTTACGAGCAAACACTTTCGTTACCCAATAGTTTTCGCTATCCACCGGTTACGTAACAGCTCGTACGCACCGAGCCCTGGCAATATTTCAGGAAACTCGAATATCGCTCCGGTTACGTCGCACGTGTGTTGCGAGTCGACCGGGCACAAAGGTTCAAATTAATTAGACGGAAGTTGAATCGTACCGGTTACCTAATGAAAACCGGCTAACGAGTTCAAGCCGGAGTTGGGCATTATTCGAATAAGTTTCTCGAATAAAATTTCATTCGGACAATGTCCTGCGTCGAATAACGACTTTATTAGAAAGCGGCGATTAACGAGTAAAGTATATTCGTGATTAACAATGTCTCGTCGAATAAAATAGTTACATTTAAAATAAATTCCCTTATTATTGGACGCGGCATCAGGAGATAACGTTCGTCTGTGAGACTCGTAATAATAATAAAAGCTACTACCTTGTTATACTATTTTATACATTTCGCATAGTCTTCAATGCGTCAAGTTTACTCAGCTCAGAATTCTTATTTTGCATGTATTTAAATTATGAACTAAATACTAACTACTTAAACTAATTAAAATACATATTAATAAATATATGCTTAGTATCAAACTCTGTTGTATTTATTTAGCAAATATTCAGCGCGAGGAAAGAGTGCAAAAGAAATTCAGAGTGGAAAGGGTTAAAGTACAAGGGGTTACCGTAGGATGGAACACCCCTGAAGCTTTAGTGTGCAAAAATCTCGCACCCCTTGCCCCCCGATGGGCGAGGGGTGCCTGATGCAGGTTGTACGGGGTGAGAAATAAAAGGGGTTAACCGTATTGGCTTCCCAGCGACTCGATTCTGGCTGAGACCGAATCCGTTTCGTGTTCCAGCGGCAGCTGCAGGTTCGGCGCCGCGGTGCTGCCCCCGGTCAGGGTGTTCCTGGTGGTGGCGGTGTGGGCGCCGAGCGCCCTTGTGCTGATCGCCTGCTACATGTACGTGTACCTGGTGGCGCGTGCACACGCACGCGCAATTTACACGGTGGAGCTGTCGTTCAGGCATCAAACGCAGACCTTGGCGCTGCCGCGTTACGGTCAAACGCTGGCCGTCACGGTCGGCGCCTTCCTCGTTCTATGGCTTCCGTTTCAAGTGAGTAAAACAAGCGACCGTCGTAAATCTCCATTACCATCGGCGCTAGACGAGCCCGACGTAAACACCGGCTCGACGCGGGGATGGGGCCGGAGAAGCGTTCGACGTACAGTTGCGGACGAAAGTTCAAGTGGAGGGTCGCAATATGTTCCCTTCGTTTGAATTTCAAAATAAAGTAGACTCGACGGGGAAATGATTTATCTATCTTTTGGGTCCTGATCGTTTGGATTGAGATTTAACTAGAACTACCGAGCGTTTAACGATAACCGTAGCACTTGTCCTACTGTAACTGGTTAAATAGCTGGCTGCTAAAGAGGGGTGAACAAATTAGGGGATCATTTTTTCTTAGTGGAAACAGAAACAGAGGGATGAAAATTGATAAATGAATTAACAGGAGAATGTTGGAATTGATGTCAAATTAAATGAACGAATGGAAACGGAATTTTAAATCCGGTCATTTGACGGTACGGTTAGTGTTAATAGGTTTGATATGTAATTCCTATGATAATTGGAGCAATAGATTGCTTTTAGTTTCTTCAGGCATGCATATAGTATTCAAGGGAAACTTTATATTCAAGGTCATTCCGAATATTCTATGTTTTTAAAATATCAATTGTTGGGAAGCAGGAAGACTGAAGCCCCAGTCGTTTTCATTGGGAAGGTAATTCTAGGGTTAAACGGTTGTTTTTGGAAAAAACGGTTTTGATAGTTCAGATAATTGTAGTAGACGTTTGTACGGAGATGTTTGACTTAAATACGTGACGTAATTGGAGTACAGAATCACGCAGTTGGCGATAAACGGGAAATATTATATCCTTGCGGCTGAGGGAAGTAGAAGCGACCGGCAATGATCAGACGATACAGTCAGACTTATGGAGTAATCGTAAACGTAGTTAACAATATTGTTAAAATGGGGTCTCTGGAAAAATTCAATGTTACGTAGAGGATTTTTGGATTTTGTTTCCCTTTTTATTTTTGTCTCGCGTGTTTTCGAGTAGCAACGATCAAAAGGTAATTTATGTTTCTGTAAGCGAGAGTGGTATTTAAAGTTTGGTCGGGGAATCTAACGAGTAACTCGCGGCGTAACAGGGGACGCGAAGTTCTCAGGCAAGACCAATAGTTGTTAAACGAGAAATTGCAAGCGATACGGACGCCAAGTGGAAGAGCGAGTTCGTTACTTTGTAATAAACAGCGTAAGAGACACGACACAAATAATTCCGAATTAACCTGCATCTTAAACCGTCCACACGTCCCGTTTGTTAATTAAACCTTTCACCCGTCAAAACGATAGAAATGTGAAGCAAAAACTTCTCCGTCGATTTCTATTTCGAACGCGAAATAAAGTTTCGCGGTTCGTGGAATTTGGAATGAAACTTTATACTTACATTCCAGCTCGATTCGAAAGGAATCCTTCTGCCTCGCGTCGGTGTCGATTAAAGAACAAAGTGAAATTTGTTTACCGTTCCATGCGTCGTTGACAAATAAAAAATGTGAACTGTATGTAAACACGGAGAACCTGCGACGAAACGGTACAACAACGGACGCTCGCGAGAACATCGATGTTTATTTACCGTGTTTAAATTTACCAGGAGTTCCAATTAAACTCGAACCGTGTACACGGAACAAACAATCGTATTACATGCACAAAAAGTTCGGGGAACTGGAAATTACTAAACAAAATTCGTTAGTCGCCAGGCGATAGCCTTCCTATGTAAACACGAGAACCAACATTTAATTTGCAAGCGTCCCTTCTTATCGTTCGTTCTCCACACTCTTCGCATGAATAATTCACTTGCGACACAAACTTCGACGTTTCATCAATAAAACGAGAAACCGCTTCAAGCTTAATAATCTCGCGTCCCAGTAATGAATCTTCGGATAAAAAATGAAACCGACAGCCAGCGAAACTTCATCAAATGTTACACGGAATCTTTCAGGTAACACGCGCAACTTGGAAATAATCATTAAACTTCCGTCGCGCGAGTAAAATTCCAATCGGGAGGTGCCAATTTAAACTCGACGTCCAAAATCGTTTAAAGGGAGGAAAGAATGAGCGTCCCTCGGACAGCGTTCACGGTCACGTGTACCTGATCGATTGATACTGCGGGGATCGACAGGGCCAACGTGGTAATGAGGTTTTCGTGACGCGGCTGTCTCCGTCCCCGTTCCGATAGGAAACTTCCGCCACGCCGAAGGGTGAAAAACGACGTAACTTTCGAAATTGCGGCGGCGAAGAAGTCGAGGGAAGGCGCGTTGACGACTGGTCGTTCCGACGAAAGAGGCAGCCGGCTTCATGAAACTTCCGGCGAAGCTGGTTCCCCTCGAATCCTTTTCCCTCGGCGATTTCCTTGGAACCGTCGAGAAAAGTCCGCGACAATTACGAACGGTCGCAACCAGTGCGTCTGTCTTTGTTTTGCGCGGTACTGTTTACACGCGACATCGAATGAAACTCTCGTTTTCGGAAATGCGATCGTTGCTCTATTGTTGTTAACGCGTTGACTCGTTTATCGTGTTTACCGTTTAAAGTTACACGTTCGTCCGGCGAAATAAATCAATTGATCGTCAGAGAAATTAGCATCATTCTGCGTTTTAGGATGACGCGCATGCTCGTCGGACGCAGTCCGCTGATTAAACTATGTGAAACGAGTGTGCATTTGTAAAACGTGTACCAGCGTCTCTTCCTAGTATTTTGTTTTCTATTGTACTCGCGCGATTTTCATTGCGGCAAAACGAATCTACTTGGAACTCATATTCCGCGTGACTGGAGAGACGGGCGTATTTTGTCCCGGCTCGGTCGGAGCCGCTGTTCCGGGCTAATTAAAGAAACTTTAACCGAGGGAATTACCTGCATCCGTGAATCAGGGAAACTGTGGTGCGACTGTTTCATTTCGAGACTTCTGGTCTTCTGGGGATCACGGGGCTCAGCGGATAACGTTTTAACCGTTTGTGCCACGAATTATGTCACTTTTGGGTGCCCGAGTTATCTTCACTTCCAACAGCTATTTCGAGGCTAAATGAATTCCGCGTGTTTCGTTTTAAGTTTGCGTTTCATCGACTTCGGTTCTGAAGGAACGGGGAAGACAGCACGGTAATAATTGATTAACCATCGTATTCATTGCAGTATCGAAAAGGACGTCATGCGTGTTGTAGGTTCTCGTAGCGGAAACTGCGTTTGCTATTAGGTTGCATGTATCATTCTTCAGTTTGGAAATACCGTGCAGACTGTACGCGGTAGATTCATTCAAGAAATTTCTTTTCTGCTTAACATTTATATCGCGAAAGTTTAAATTACCTGTCGGCGATAAAATATTCATTGACGGTCGCAGATTATGCCCGCAAATACTTTTAACTAGCGAGTTTACAATCCGTGGGCCGTTTTATTATGAAGTTCGAATGTATAAGGAACAGTCCTGTCTGTAATCGTCAAATTGCGTATCGCGTGTGTATTGATTTAATAAGATTATAAATCAATATCCGTGTAATATATTAAGGGAAATATTGACGGTTCGATGTTGCGTCTTCTATATTTATTCAAAGACCTTTCCTAACTTCGTGAAATTTGCCTCTTCAAGTTTGCTTCCAGCCATACATGAATACTTAGGGTCAAGAGTAGAACTCGGTTCAATTGTGGTAATATACTAAAAAGCTCTTTTCACATTCAGCTCGGGGATGAAAGCAGCCGAACGCCAAACATACAGATTTCGGCTCCGAACGTCTCCTGGCAACTTTCGTTGACGGAGGTCAAGACAAATGGCTCGAGTTTCCCAACCTTCCCATTCCGCCGCGCACGACATGATATAGTTTGATCGTATTGTTCATGCTACACGAGCATTATAGCCACCCACGCGGATCGGCCGAATGAAAAGCAGATATTTTGGGGTGGTAAAGATAATTTCCTGACTTCCCGATCGCGCCACCGACCTTGGCCGTTTCTGCAGTGTGATCGATCAACGCGATCCCCTAATCTGTTACTTCTTTATCTAGCTACACAACTTGTTTCGCTCGAAGAAACTTGAAACAACTATTTCCAGATACATTTGCGTCCCTATCAAATGATGAAAGAACTTTTTCATTAAATGAAACTCGGAGATATCACTCGAATTTGTTGCAAAGAGTATTTATTTGACAGATATTCACTTTCCAAGGTTTGTCCATAGTCGAACATGTATAAATCTACAATCCAAGTCGTTCAAACTGAAATTGTCATAAATGTCTGACGATTAAACCATTCAACCTACCAATTGCATTAAGTACATCGCCAAATACGAAGTTTCAAATGCCATTCTAACGAGACGAAAAATCTCTGCTTGACAGACCTGCATGCTGCTCGACATCTTCTGCGGCACCGACATCTTGTCGGAGTGGGCAGTGGTGTGGCTGGGCCTGCCCATAATGGCGCACAGCGGCGTGAACCCGTGGATCTACGCGTTCCACCACGGCGAGATGAGAGTCGCTGCCGGGAAGATCACAGAGGAGCTGGTGGCGCTGTTCGGTGTGACGCCGAGCCGATACGGATGCTCGCCATTGAGGCGGGGCTCTAACACGAACATGGAGCTGGCCGAAGTGAACAACAGCAACGACGGCAGACGACACCCGGCGGATGATCGTTTCGTGGCGAAGCAAAATGGCGCGCTGTACACAAGCAGGCGCGGCCTGAACCTATCGGGCAGACACGCCGACATCTCTCCCGAGAGGAACATGGAGCAGAGCTCTTGCGGCAGCAGGCAAGCGGACATCGTCGAAGACGACATCCACGACCTGACGAAGATGCTCGATCTGAAGTACATCATCGACAGGAACCACATGATCGACTCGAACCACAACATCGACAAGGTGAAGAACCTCAAGTACCTTCTCGACCCGACGTTCAACAAGATTCGACACCTGAGGCGACTCAACCACAAAAAGTTCACCAGCAAGAACTTCTCGAAACCATCCGAGCCGAAGTTCATCTCCTACCAGAACTTAAAGAGCGACGGGACATTGAACAGGAAAACATTGCAAATGAACACCATGTCGGACCCAGTCCTGAGCGCGGACAGTCCAATGGTGCACGGCAAGGACTTCACCGACTCTTTAAGTCCGGTGAATCCTAAACGAAGGAACTCGAATCTTTGTTCCATGTCTGATCCCAATATCAAGGCGGCGACCGGACATTCCTCCGAAGCGAGTCTCAGGTTACCAGTTAGCGGCCACGTGGTCGAGACCCACAGGTACTCGGTGCAGAACCTGGATCACAACAGGTGCGACGGCGGATTGGCGAAGCAGGTGATTCTGTCGCGTCAACTGGAGAATCATAGAAGGTTCCAGGTCTACCCGCGACCACGAGTGAAGATTCCGAACAGTTTCGGCAGGACGAGTCCGAACCTGAATCTCAGGTTTCAGAACAGCTATACGTCCCCTACCACGCCAGAGAACACGGTGGCCAGCTTTTTTAACAGTCTGAAGCAGAAGTCTTCTCCTAGCAGACACATGGTGATCACGTCCAACCAACTGGCGAACCTGAATCATCCTGACAATGCGTCTCTGAGATGCTTGGAACCTACCGTTGATCATTCAACCAGGATACTCCAGGCTAGGAGGAACATTGATATACTGAGACATTCCGAGTCGACCAATGCCATTGAACCCATGTCGCAGTCCAGGCTACTGGAACCTTACAGAATCATGGAAAGCCTGGCTGTCCCGACAATACACTCAGAACCACCGAGTCCCATAGATCCTCTTCCTTTAGCATCCCTCGAGGAAGAGACCACCAAGAACAACGAGACAGCGAATCCTCCTACGAACACCGAACGTTCCAAGCTGCCATTCGGCAACAGGAGAAGTCCAGTCAGACACTCGGACCCAGTGATACCATCCGTATTGCTAAACATCGAGGACTACAGCGAAGATAGTGGGCAGACTGACAAGTCTAGTCGGGACGGTTCCTCGAACAACCTGCCATCAGCTGGTCTCGCGCCTTCGATGGAGCCCATAGACTTGTTCGAAGCTCTGATCAAGAACTCGGAGAGGTTCAGAGAAGGCAGACTACCAGACCCAATCTTCGCCGAGCACGACTCGACGAGGTTCAGCTCGAGGAGACCGTCAGACTCAAAATGGTCAGAGTCCTCTAGAAGCCAAGAAGTCCTGTCCAACGTTACCGAGCATCAAGCGTTCCCGTCGTCGTACTCGGTGAACAACTTCCAAGTCTGCAACAGCGGCAGCGATCTGAACGACCTGACGTCGTTAGATCCCTTCATGTGTCCCGACGCGTTGACGTCGTCGCTGCGGGAATCCTTCTTCAGCGCGCCGTCCGTGCCTGACTCGGAGATCTTCACGTCCTTCGAGGAGAACGAGGAGTCCATTTTAACGCCGGACTCGGAGCGAGACACGTCGCCTTACGAGTCCGCGTCGACGATGAACCTGAAGAGGTCCATGAACGACGCCTACCACCAGAGCAGGTCCACGGAGTCCGTGTTCCGGAACAGATGCCTGTCGACCAGGTCCTGCACGATCCTGCGGCTCGAACCGTCCCTACACCGAAGTAGATTGCGAGTCAGGCCCAACGCGGACTACATCCTAAAGGACATGGCCAAAAGGGGCCAAAGATTGGCGCCCC